ACCTGGACGCTGAGAAGGCGCTGGCCAAGCTCGCTGAGCAGGTGGCGCAGGCCGCGGCGGAGGTCTACGAGGCACAGCAGGAGCACTCGAAGGCGCTGGAAGAATACAACATGCACTCGGTGGCGGAGGGCACGGCGGCCAAGCCCGAGCAGTCGGGCTTTCAGGTGGACGAGAGCCTCTTCGCCGATGAGGAGGACCTGGAGCAGACTCAGAAGGACCAGCTTGCGAAGTTCAGGGAGGACGCGAAGTCCTTGCAAGAGTTGTTGGAGCGCGCCAAGACGCAGCAGGAGGCCCTGCTCACCATGGTCGAGAGCGCGAAGAAGATCAAGGCTGATCATGCGGCAAAGAAGCGCAGGATCAACGAAGAAGACGGGCAAGCACACGCGCAAGTTCCACCACCCGCTCAAGACGCCAAGCCTGAGACACCACCACAGCAACAACAAGCCAGCGATCCAGAAGCAGAAAAGCGGAAGGCAGAAGCGATCGCCAAGCTCATCGAGGAGAACAAGGAGCGAGCCAGGGCGGCATCTCAGAGGGCGACCACCACTTCACCATCGGTTGGTACGGCAGCTGCGGGCGGCGCTACGGGCTATTCTTCTGGTCGGGCTGGTATTTAGCCCACCATGGCAGCCGCCTGCAGCGCTGGACAGGCCTCCAGCACCGCCGTCCCCCGAGTGGTCAGCCTTCCCTGGTCTCCCAGGGACATCGCCCCCCTGTCTTGGGGATCGGACCTCCTCGTCCGAGCCAGATGCGGACGCAGCTTGTCAAAATTGGCGTCGCAGCCAGTGTGAGAGAGCTCGCAATCAGACATATGAGACAGCCAAGCCAGCGAAGGTCACCAGTATATTCTTCAGCAATATCACACAATGGGGCGAGAAACCTCAGAAGTTCCTCAACGAGAGCCAGGAACTTGCTCCGATATTCGCCTTCACGGAGTCCCACGTGCCGCAGTCAGGCATCACGAAGCTGAAGAAAGACCTGAGCAAAGACGGATGGAAAGCAGCAGTCACGGCAGCTACCCCGACGCGGCGCTCGAAGGAGGGCAACAGCGGAGGCGAGCTGCTCATCGCCAAGGCGCACTTGGCGACCACAACGTTCGACGTGATGAGGGAGACCCTTAAGGCTCGAGGACGACAGGACCCATTCAGAGGGTTCACGGCCATGACTATCCACCTCAGCGGAGGCAATGTCGTTCTCTTCTCCCTCTACCTGCTTCCCAAGGAGGGCATGCAGGGCAGCAACTTTGAAAAGATTAAGGCGCTCTCGACGGTCATAGGGAGCATCGCAGATCCTTGGATTATCATGGCAGATTGGAATATGCCCCCGACCCTGGTCGAGAAGTCAGGCCTCCCCACGCGCCTGGGAGGCAAGGTGATCGTTCCGAAGATCCAGGTCACCTGCGACAAGGGCAAGGGCAGTCTCATAGATTTCGCCATGGCACGAGAAGATATAGCAGACGGCATCACCATCGACGGGCACGCGAAAGTACCTTGGAGGACACACACGGGGCTCCTGCTCAAATTACCAGGGCGCTCGGAGGCTTGGTGGCACAGGCATTTGGATCTCAACAAGCCGTTGCCTCTGGTGCCCCCACCGAAGAAGGCCCCCGACCCAGAGAGCAAGCGCAGCAAGGAGAAGGAGGCAGCACAACAGAAGAGACTGGCAGAACTCCCCGAGGACTTGCGCGAGGAGTTCAACTGGCCCGAGCCCCCACAGACCAACATGGTGCAGCAGACGGTGCAGTACGCGATAGACGAGGGCCAGTGGGAGCAGGCCAGTCGCATCGCCATCGGGCCAGCGTTGACCAAGCAGATGCACGAGTTGGAGGCCAACCTTCTCATCCGAAGTGAGCATCAGAAGCTGATGGAGCAGGCGATCACAGGCGAGTATGCGGTCTGGGTCACCACTCTGGAGGAGGCGATCATCGGAGTAGACACGATGGACGCCGAGCAGGCTGATGCGCACCGAGGCAGAGGAGGTGGTTTTGCAGTCAGATGGCAAAGATCGAAAGCCACACCAGGTCGTACGCATATGAAGTATCAAGCAGCAGAGTTGTGGTCGATAATGGGAGTCTTGATTACCAGATACGCGTCACTACGGTCCAACGGCACGGACAACATGCAACAGAGGAAGTGCGAGAAGGAGTTGTCCACGACCTACCAGCAGCTCAGAAGGATGGGTTTGGATCAGATCTTTGGAAAAAAATGATCCTGATGAAGCTGATGAGCGCATGCTACGTGTGCAGGAGGTCAAGACACACACGCTGGACGAGCTTGAGAGGTTGAAGGATGAGATCGAAAATCACCTGACAATTGCGGTCTCCAGGGGCATCTCCACACAGCGGCAGCAGTTCACCAAGTGGGCAAAGAAGATGTGGTCGGAGAAGCCAGGCATCCTTCACAAGCACGTCAAAGATCCAGCGCAGCCGACCTACGAGCAGCACCACCAGAACGCAAGCTCGGCGGACCCAGAGATTCTCATGCACACGAAGAGGGAGAGATGGCTAAAGATCTGGACGGACGCAGTGGACACCAGAGAGGACATCGCGCCGGAGCTGCAGGTCATGCACAGACAGGCCAGAGACGAAGACCTGGACCCGATCACAATAGAGGAGTTCGACTCGGCCATGCAGGCCACGAACCCCAACAAAGCAGGCGGTGTGGATGGTCTCAAGTTGCACGACAGTAAGAGGGCCCCGCAGGGTGCACGCCAGAAGCTGGTCGACCTCATCAACATGTGCGAGCAGACGGGCACTTGGCCGAGGCAGTGGACGGCTACACTCGGGGCCGTGGCCCCCAAACCAGCAGGCGGAGAGAGAGTGCTGGGGATGCTACCCCTACCAGTTAAACTTTGGAGCAGGACGAGGGCGTCACCTTGCAGCGAATGGAGTGAGGCTCTGAGCGCGCACTGGGACACGGCCCTCAAAGGCAGCTCGGCGTTGCGGGCTGGACTGCTCCGCGCCTGCCTGGACGAGGCGGGGTACGAGCTGGGCATCCCCAGCCTCACCCTGCTGGAGGACATAGAGAAATTCTACGACAGCGTCAGCCTGGTGCTGCTGATGCGCATCGCGAGGGGCATCGGCTATCCAGCAGTTGTAGTGGAAACGGAAGTACTCATCTTCGCGGCGGCACGGTTTCTCAAAGACAAGTCGTCGCTGAGTGAGGCGATATGGGCATCCAGATCGATAGTTGCGGGGTCGCCCAGAGGCGTCAGCCTCGCGACGGTTTTTCCCCACCCAATCCTACAGCGAGCGCACATCATATCACCGACGGCGGGACTCTGGACATTCGTCGACGACACTGTGGCTCGAGAGGAAGGCACGGCACAGGACACCCCAGATAAGATGGTCAGAGTGGCTTGTGAGCTCGCCCAAGGACTTCGTCAACAGAGGCTCAAGATCTCAGACAAGACAGTCATCATCGGCTCGAGCAGGGACATGGTCAAGAGAGCGGCGAAGAGGTTGCAGCAGAACGGCACCCCCGCCAAGGCCAAAACGTTCACAAAGGACCTGGGCCTCGATGCTGCTGCTGGGCGCAAACGAGTTGCACGCACACTCAAGAGACGAATCCTGGCAGCCAAGAGACGGTTCGGCAAGATCAAGAGGCAGAGGAAAAGCACCCTTGGCGAAAGAAGCGAAAGGACTCTGGTCTACGGGCGCCTTGCCCCAGGCCACATACGGACATCAAGCGTTCGGCCTTTCCACGACGGAGCTGATGAAACTTAGAAGACAGGCGGGTCAGATCGCAGCCGGCTCTCAAGGAGGCAAATGTCTGACGACAACACTTGCAATCGAGATGTGGAACAAGGAGCCAGGTCTGGAATTGCGCAAACGAGTTGTTCACGAGTGGCTGGCGATGTGGCAGATGAATCCCCAGATCCACGCGAGAGTCAAGTTAGCCTGGCCAAAGATCAGACAGCAACTGATCACGGCTGGACGGAGGAGGTGGGCCTATGTCAGAGGCCCGATCGCCACGCTGCAGGCCACGCTGATGGACATAGGCCGGAACCCCATCAAGGTGACAGAGTGGGACAGACCACTACCAGATGGACAGTTGCAGGCCTGGCTCATCCCCAGCGGCACTGACACGGAGTACACGAATGATTGGGAGAGACTCGCTATCTTGGGAGATGTGGTCAGTGATATGCGCAGGTTGTACTGGCAGCAGGCGTCGAAGCACGAGGATGGAGCTGACCTTCTCCCAGGAGCTGATGTATGGAGAATCAGAGCAGAGCAGCGCAAGTTTCACAATGAAGGAGCTTCAGATTTGGCGGCGCTCAACTTGATAGTCACCACAGGTGGGCAGTGGACCCGAATGAGGCGCGCCAGACAAGGATATCTGATTGATTCCAAGCTTTGTCCGCGTTGTCTGCTCAAAGAGGAGAGTTTGTATCACCGCATTTGGGAATGTGAGCAGAACAAGGGCCACGAGGACTTCGAGAAGTCGGAGGTGCTCGTGGTGCAGGCGGCGGCGCAGCACGAGGCGTCGCCTGCTCTTTGGCTTCGGGGAGTGCCAGCCGTTGGACTCACCACTCCTGAGTTCGATGAGGCGCTCCTCGGCCAGCTGCAGGTGGACTTTAAATCACACGGCTTCGCCGAATGCACGGAGTCGGGCAGAGTTCACATTTTCGGAGACGGCTCGGGGGGCAAATATTCTGATGACCCCAGACGGAGACGCTGCGGAGCAGCGATCGTGGGGCTCGTGATTGATTCGGGAGGCGGGTGGACCTTGGGGGAGGCTCTCGGGGTTCCTCTGCTCGGAGAAAAGCAAACGGTCCCCCGAGCCGAAGGTTTAGCCTTCTGCCTGGTTTTAGAGCAAGTAGATTCAGATCTCGGTTTCACATTTGTGACTGATCACAAGACGATCTCCAGGACCTGGAGGGCCCGCTTTCGGAGGCCCAACCCTGTGGGCGCCAACGAAGACCTCTGGACCAGGGCCCGCAAAGCCTTCCAGGCCAGGAGAAATCCAGATGTGGAAGTTGTTTGGTTCCCCTCCCACCAAGAGGAGGCCCCAGAGAAATTAGACACGTGCGAGAAACTCTTTTATGCCTCTGGTAACGCCTGTGCTGATTCGTGGGCGGGGGAGGCGGCGGAGTTGGCGTGGAGGGTTTTGGTGGGGCGGGAGCCTGAGACGGACAAAATAGATGCCACAGCTTCGCTGATTCGTCGAAGGGCCAGACGAGCCCTGGTGTGTGCAGCGGAGGCCGAGGAAAACACTCGGGCGGAGAGAGCCCCTTTGAAGAAGGTGGCCAGACCGTCCAAGTTGGTGGCCGCGGCACAGGCCTCGGACCACATCCTCGAGCCATGCGGTCGCAGCATGAAATACTGGTGGTGCACGGTCTGTGAGAGAGTTGTACCCCGCTACCAAACGCGGGTCTTTGCGGCCACGAAATGTACAGGGCCTCCTGCCGAAGTCAGGAGAGGTGCCCAGGCCGCTGTTGGAGAAAGGTTCGCCCCCTCGTCCCGAGGGAGCGGCTTGCTGGAAAATGTTCACCCCTCTCACAGGCTCCAGTATGTGGAGAAATGGTTCCTTCACATTTGTTCGGAGTGCGGTACCTATTGCACCGTGGACCCCAGGAATTTAGTTGCCAGATGTGACGGGCGGACCCATAAAGGTTCGCAGAACCTAGCGAGGATAAGCAAAGGTTTGTTCCCGCGTCGTGAAGGCCCCCCGAGGGCTATTTTAGAGGCCATTAGGGCACGTGAAGAAGCCGCCTGCGCGGACGTGGCGGCTTTGCTCAGGCGTCCGCAATCGGAAAACCCAGGATCCGACCAGGCTGGCCAGGCTGCTGGGCCTTCGGGGGCCCAGACGGGAGCGGGGATGGACCGCGCGGCTCCCTCCAGGCCCTGGCCAGGGGCTGGGGATGAAAGCGATTCCAGTGATTAAAATCGCCCCCCAGGACAGCGTCCGCTATCAAAGAGTGCAAAGAGTCCTCCTCCCCCTCCCCCTCCCCCTCCCCCTCCCCCTCCCCCTCCTCCTCCTCCTCCTCCTCCTCCTCCTCCTCTCCTCCTCCTCCTCCTCCTCCTCCTCCTCCTCCTCCTCCTCCTCCTCCTCCTCCTCCTCCGCCTCCGCCTCCGCCTCGCCTCCGCCTCCGCCTCCGCCTCCGCCTCCTCCGCCTCCTCCTCCTCCTCCTCCTCCTCCCTCCTCCTCCTCCCTCCTCCTCCTCCTCCCTCCTCCTCCTCCTCCTCCTCCTCCTCCTCCTCCCTCCTCCTCCTCCTCCTCCTCCTCAACTCCTCACCGTCGCTCGGACCTCCGTGTTTTCCCGTGCAAGAGATCGACTTAGTGCGCTTACAGATTTTGCGAAGATGGTCCACGATGCTCCGCAGCGGTCCTCGCAGAGGAGGAAAGGCACACGTCCGAGTGATGCCGAGTCTCTTTCTCTCTCTCTCTCTCTTTCTCTTTCTCCCTGCACGTCGTGCTTCGCAAACATCAGGCTTGCATGCCCTTTTCTATT